AATTGGTGAAAATCCTTTACTTTTTTTGTTTATAATTGCTACTGACTTGGAAAGGAAATTAGGCTTATCATTCTAGCAATACTAAATGGAAGATGAGTAAGAAGGTATGGGGAAAGATTTTTGGGGGAGTAGGGTTCAAAATGCTGATTAGAAATGCATTAACTTACTTAAACTTGCAGAATGGTTGTTGCATAATAGTCAGTTGGAGTGTAAATATAATTTCTTGATGTGATAAAAGCAATGTCAATTGTGAATTCCATTTCCCCCCATTTTTAAAAGTAATTACATTTTTACTTGATTTCATGAGAAGACACTACTTGCAACAAAGCCAAATGGTCCCCAAGAGAAAACATTCTTCTCCCATGAAGTATTCTCAATAGTCATCTTGGAAGCCTTGCAAATTAAACAAAGCCTGTATTGCTAAAGCATATGTTTGAAATAAGAAAAAATCTAAAATTAATTGAAAACAAAAAGTTGTCTGTATTAAAATAAAATACTTAATACACTAGAGACAAGATCATAGAAAGATTCTCATCGTGTGTGTTCCAGTGCTATCGAATATGACTTGTACTTGACACAGTAGCAACAACCGTTTTATTTTATCATTTATTTCAGAAGACAGATTTGACTCATGAAATGACCATTTTAATTTACTTTGTACACCCTGTAGAGGTGGACGCCATGCCATGGTCTACAAAACATTACCATGGGACCTCTGGCTTGAAGTGCTTAGGAAAAAAGGCCTGATCCTACAAACGTTTATGTATGTGAATAACATTACATCACAGAATTATATGCACCAGAGGCATCCTGGACTCCTGGAACATTTCCCATGTACAGGGGCACAGTTGACTTCCAGTTGCTACCATGCTGCCTGTGTGATTGTACAGCTTTAGTGGCAGCTTTTTCTCTGCATCACCTCCCTTCCTCCCCTCTCCCTTCCTGGTTGGTGCCTAGGACCACCCCACTCTAGTTACACCACTGATGTGCATCACAATCTAAAACATCAGGGTCTTAAATTATGTCTAGTGCTAAAAGTGAACTTAAATTATTTTAAAAGCCCTGCATTATGTATTGCATACTTACTTTACAAAATGAGTTGTAGCAAATGATGTGTTTTTTGCTTTCTTTAAAGATCAACACTTAACTACCCGTGTCTTTTTTTTTTTACAGCTGTTAAATAGCCACTGTTGTTTATAACAACTCTTATTCTTGCTGAAATGCACATGCATTTACATGCTTCAGTGAAGTAGGTTTGATAATGACAGTTTTAGAATATACCCTTCATCCTCTTCCCCCTGCCCCACACCTTTCCCCCAGTATAATTGTTTGTCTAACTTTAAAATGTTTGTCTTCTGGTGTGAGCTAGATTTATTAGACTGCAGTAGTTTTAGTTCATTTTGGCTGGGATGTTTATTATGACATCACTGTGATCTATATACGGTGTGTGATTTCAGTTGGTTCCAGTGTTAAATATTTTCATAATTATGCTAGTTTTGGCAGTTCATCTGGAACTTTTTCACATCTCTTTAATGAGCATGCTTTACTTCTGGGCTTATGAGATGGTCACATATTTGAAAAATTAATAGCATGCTTTTAAACTTAACATTGAGCAGAAGTGTACAAGTACAAAAAACTTTGGGATGAAAGTTGAACTGTGTGAGAACACAGTTCCTGTAAGGTCATGGCCACAGTAGTTATCTTTTAGTAACTAAAAAATATGACACTTGTTTTGTAAAATATTAATAGCAGTTTGTAAAATAATTAATTTTAAAATAAAACACTCAGTGTAAAAGTTTCAGGAAACGAGTGCATATTATCTAAACCTAAATAGCATTATTTTAAAACAATGTTACATCATGTTGAATCCTTTACAGGGAAGAGCAAAATATGTATTGTTAAAGTAGTCATGTCTGGGAATGAAATTAATAGCCACCTATTAGTCATAATAGTCAAATATATGTAATTTCAAAACTAATTTGTGTGCGTAGTTTTGTCAGCATCTTAAAGTTTTGTTTTTTACTTCCCTGTTGTATCCAATGAACTAAACAAATGATTGCAGTATTTTGTTGCAATAACACTTACTGTTAAGGAAAATTAGTGCTATAACGAAAAAAAGATTTTATCTTTTTAACTGATCTCAGTCACTTCTGGTTATCTGTGTTTAAACATTGGAAATAGAAGCTTTAAATAAGCTATAGAGGAAAAAGAAAATGCTTTAAGGTATTTTTGAAGAGGAATAAGGACTAATAAACGAAGAAGAATAAGCATCAATACATTCTGTACTGTTTGCATTAGACTTAAATATGTGCAGTTCTCTGTAGATTTTGCATGTGCTGTTGGGCTTCTTAAATGTCATGTGACTTGTGAGTATGCATGCTGGTCAGTAGAAAATCATAAAAGTAGGTCTTAACTGTGTTGATCCTGGCTGCATTTAAGAGCTTTAAAAAAAGAAAAGCAATACCGATTTGAATGTAATCTGTCTTTGTGTTGGCAGCCAACATAAATATCCCAGGGTAAGCATCATATGATAGTAGTAGGTCACACCAGTAAGTAGATATACCACAACATTCTGTTCAAGTTGTGAGCTTGGGAAAAAGGGAATTACAAAAATCAAGCCTTGTGGTTGCCAGGGCATCTCTTGCTTTTGTAGGGTCAAAAGATAAATATAAATGAACTGACTCTGTACAATCCTTTGCTAACATCCTGGCTGCAGTGAGCTTTATACAGCAATATAGAAGAAGGGGCTGTTAGAATGTTGTTCGGCATTCTCATTTTTGGTATTTTTATGAGGCGTGGTACTCTCAGCCCTTTTGAAACACCAGTGCATTCTTACTTCTGAAAAGCAGATTTGTTGCCTTCAAGGCTAGGGACAGAAATTGCACATAAACCAGTATAAGTGAACAGACGCTGGTTCAGATCTGTAATACAACAGAAGTTCATTGCACATAAACCACTTACAAAATGGCTGAAACAGGTTTATGATCAACCTGGATGGATAATAGTATCAGACTTTACTGATTTAGGTTAAATTGGCGTATTGAACTTCCATCCACTTCACATTCAAGTTAACTTAGACACCACTAGCATCCCAGGATGCTTTGCACCTCCCCCACAAACCACCCCTTCCAGGGTGAGCAGGCTAGCCTTGGTCCAATCTGTCTGCTCCAGGTGAGCAGGGAGGCGTGCTCTAGCATCCCCAGCTTCTGGCCTGAGCCACTGCAGGCATATGGCTGCTTTTCTTGAATCAAAAGTGCATGTCTGCTCACTTGCTGATTAGTTCACTCTGCGCAGCTTAGACTGACCTGCAAACATTGAATCATTCAGCCTGGAGCTTTTTGACTGTCTATACTTAGCCCAAATTGTAAACACTTGTACCTTCTAGAAGGGTTTGGGAAACTTTGTTCTCACTTATGTAATGCTAGAAATCATAACATTTTCCTTCCTTGTTTTTTTCCATTTCTTAAATATGATCTGAAAATAAAATAAAATTCCTTTGAGTGTTTTTGAGACTTTGATACAGATATTTTTGTATGTCTTCAATACTTTTCTTTTTGTTGAAGAAAACTTGAATAGCCAAGAAACTGGGAGTTAGGGGCTACTTGAATAATTCGTACAAGGCATTAAACAAAGCACATTAGAAATCCAAACAGCATAATGGTGCTGTCTGAGGACTGTTCAGATAAGTGATTCTCAATCAGGGTGCCACAGCTAGTTGTGGTGCTTTGAGATCCTTTCAAAGGTACTGTGGGATTCCATGCAGTTTTAGCACTGTTCAGTGTGCAAATGTGAATCACAAGATAAATCTAGGGATTACAAATAGAAATCCATACTTATGGTCTTTTTGAGTTATTTGCAGCAGAAAAACTGCTGTATTTTTCTGTAGGTGAAACAAGAGTGAAAACTAAAAATTGGCATTTTCTGAGGGGTGCCTGCAGGCCAGTAATTGAGGTTTTTATCATAGTTTCTTACTTATGGCTTCATAGCAGAACTTCTGTACATATATCCCAGTTAACCCTTGTCATCTGGGTAGCACCGTGTTCCAGTGAGTAATTACGGCTGGTAAGCAGAGATCATGTTGTCGACTTCTTCCTTGTAACATTAATATCCTTGAAAGAGGCTCTTTATCAGCATTTCTTGGGTTTTCTAACATTTGTGTCTTGGCAAGTAAATCTTATCCTGGAATGTACCTGCAACCCTAATGCCCATATTGTGACTACGTATTGCAAGTCTTTATTTTATTTTATGAATAAGCCATGTTTTCTATTTTTAAGCTACAAAAGGTAAATTAGTGATTTAAGACGTTAAGATGAACAGTTGCTTCTTTTGTCTTATCTATTTTAGGGTAGTTTTAAGGTTTGCTTTTTTAGGGGGTTGAGGTTAATATGTTGCTTCATGAGAGGAAAGGGTCTGAAGAGCACTTTATTCCTAAAAGCTTGTCTGTCTCTCCCAAATACCTTTTGTTGGACCAAGTGTGCATCACAAAAAAAAAAAATCTTTGCATCTTGTACATTTCTTGGACCATCATGGCTACAACAATACTCCAGCTCTACTTGCTTCATGGGGCAATTTCAAATACCTTTATTTTAGAAAGGATGTGGCTGACATTACAACTGTTCTAGGTTTTCATGAGCAAATTCTTAGTCTGATAAAAGCAGATAGTTTCTCAAATTTATTTTTGTAGTATATGGGTTTTTATTTAATGTTTAGGGATGCTTTACCTGAACTGCAGTTAATTTCACAAATGTAATACAGTAACATAATTTCAATAAAACTTACAACTATTGATCCAGTTTTAAATGTTTAATACTTTCCAGGGGATCCCAAAATTTCATATGAAATTCTCATGTATAAATACACTAACTGTGATCTCAAGGAATGGAATTGACAAGTATTTTAAGTCTAGTAATAGTAAATCCATATACTAGATTATTTTTCAGGCGCATTTTCTTTCACACTGTGTTAGACTAATTAGATTAATTATTTTGGCTAATATACAGGAAGACCATGAGAGCTGCGGTTCCAGTTCAAACCGTAGTACCACAGAGAGTGCAAAATCAATGGTAAAACCACGCCGAGTCCAGCAAGCTTCTCCTTCTGACCCTGATTTACCACCAGGTAACTTTTATCTTTCATAAAGTGGACTGTTTTTATTTGCGTGATTCTGTTAATCTTACGTAGCAACAGATTAATATTTTTTTATTACCTTGGGCCAAAATGTTCAAAATTAAGTTCCAAAATCCATAGTTAGGTTCTTGTGGGTGGCCTGATGATTTAGAAGAGCCGAGTATCCACAGATCAGGTCAGTAGAATCTTGGGGTAGTCTGCAATATAGCTGCATTAAAATGAAATTGAAACCTAAAAAATAGCATATTTTCCCTTTTTGCTTGCATTTTTATTCAGGTAGGGTCTTGCTATTATATGTCGTTATTTTTCCTTATCTGAATACTGAATTTTTAATAGTATAATTATTTAAAGATACCACCTGTACATAGTTTTTTGTTCATAGGTCTCAGATTCCTACAAGACAACTCAGAACTCCCCAGGCTCTTAAAAATTTGGACTTTTATTGGTTGGGCGTGATCTCCTCCACTGTCTATCCTTCCTTCCCCCATCAATGCAGCTGCTTTGGATTCACCTTGAACCTTGTCAGCCAATTCTTCTGCCCACAGGCAATGTAAGAGCCCTCTTACAGGTGCTGCACACCAAACTTTATCCTCTGCCGTTTTGGCTTTTTCAGTTGTTTTATTTCAGACAAGTCTTTTGCATGTTTACCTACAGTTTAGTTGCTAAGTTAATTCTGTCTGTAGTCTCCAGCTCATGTAGGGATTCTGGAAGCACTGCTGCACCAGAGAATACTAAATCTGAGATTTTGCCTGTCTATTAGTAGAAGCATCAGTCAGTTGCTTTCTGTTTGAAGCATTTGACCTGACTGAGCCTGAGGACATTTACTTGGTCCTTAAGCATCTCTGGTAATTAGACTGAAGTTGGAGACTTTGCCTGTGTTACCTGTCTCTGTGTGCAAGTGGAAGACAATTGCTTTGTCACGTGAAATGTTCCAGAGTTCAGGATGATAAACTATGAGAAACTTATTTTCAATTTCACACACTAAGAATTTTGTGAGTTGAGGTGAATGTGAGATTGCCTTCTCCTTTGGGCTTTTTTGAGGCATCCATTGTGGCATTCTCTCTCTCTCTCTTTTGCCCGTGTTCTCCTTCTCTCCTTTCTTTTAGGGGGAGACATCTTGGAAGGATTCTTATGTCATCAGATTTTTAGAATCTTAAAATTTGGGGTTTTAAGACATGGGTCTTTATGTGCCTTTGGTAGCAGATGGCTCAAGTTGGCATTTGTTGCAGTTCTCTAGCTCTCAGAAGAGAACATTAAAGTTGGTGCACAGATTACTTCGTATTGAAGAGTTCCAACCTTTATATAATGGAGTATGTATACAAGATGGAGGCACTTACGCCACTGCCTCTGTGTTCTTTACACAAGGGATACAAGTTCTAGATAGCATGATGACATGCTGTTTCTTCTGACTTCAGCATATTGACATCTGTGCAGGCAATGGTTTTGGAGGGTACCTTGATATTTTGGTGTAGAGAGAAGTTGGGTGCTTAACTTGTTTGGAAATACAGGCCGAATGTGTCTGCCACCCTGCCCTTTGGCCCATTATGTCTGCTATTCTGGGCAACACTTCATCTTGTTGATATTGCTAGAGTTTTACTTGCTGTATCCCGCCTGAGCACCAGCAGGGTTCAGAGACCTACTCATTCTTCTGGCATGGTTTCTGTGATTTGGATCAGGATCAAAAGTGCCTCAATAGTCTTGGGGCATTTGGAATGAATAGAAGAGTTCACCCCTATCCTTCAACATTTCATGATGCTTGTGTGCATCTCTGGGGTGGGGGCTGTATCCCAAGACATGCTTACATTTCAGGCTGTGTTCTTTCACACATCCTCGTGTTGAAATGTTAGCCATAGCGGGGTGACATCTCAAATATAGGTGTCTTGAAAGAACACAGCCTGAAATGTAAGCATGTCTTGGGGGACATACTAAGCATCATGAAATGTTGAGGGATAGGGGTGAACTTTTCCATTCATGCATGTATCTTTACCCCAGGATGAGCACTTTTCTGTTAATAAGTTTGTGGAACATCAGCACGTAGTGGCCATCAGTTCTCATATTTCTACTTTGGTACTTCTTTAGGACTTGTATGTTCTTATGGATCTGAGAGTTCATTGTTAACTCAGATCTACTGTCATGGTCTGTGCATTTGGCATTAGGATGGGGGGGTCAGTGTATTAGTGTGACAAGCCTAACTCCTCCAGAGAACATTAGTAAACGTTGAATTCACTGGGTCAGCCATGAATGACTTTGTGTAATTAAGTTTCCCAAATTCATTTTTGATTTTGATACATCTAGTATCAACACACTTTTATTTCATTCTAGGGTCCCATGTGATCACTGATAAGCAACAAAGGAGTCCCAACACTTACTTTTATTCTCTGGTTTAGATGCCTTGCCCTCACATTTTATGAATGTAGTGGGTCTCCACTAAAAACAGGCTTCTTTTGGTCCTTAGGAAGTAGTGTATTAGGTTGCTGAAGTCTGAGAGTTAACCTAATAGAAAATAGGGCTGGGACAGACCTCCTCAGGGCAGGATCAACTGCACCTAAAGAGTTCCTAACAGATGTTCATCTAACTCACTTTTCAAAACCTCCAGTGTTGGAGATTTTGTAATCTCCCTAGGTAATCTATTTCAGTGTGTACTGCTACCATTAGAAAGGTTTTCTAATGTCTATTCTAAATCTCCTTTGCTGCAATTTAAGTGCACTACTACTTGTCGTATCTCTAGTGGATGTAGAATAATCATTACCTTTTTCCTTACAGCAGTCTTTTATATACTTGACTGTTGTTGTGTCTCCTGCAATCTTCCATTTTTTGAATTAAACAAATGCAGTTCTTTCAATCCCTCTTCATAGGTATAGTATCTAGACTTTTGATCGTTTTTGTTGCTAGGATGTAGGTGGTCACTTAGCGAAGCCAGGAGATGTTTGTGAGTGGACAAGAGTTGAGGAGCTGACAAGGCTGTCTGGGAATGTGCTGGAGTCTGGAACCAGTAACAAATGGGCAGGGACCAGGATGATTCAGGAAGCAGAACCCAGGGCACAGAAAACTAGGACTAGGGAAACCTAAATCAAAAAGACAGGACTGAGGAAACCAGGAACAGGATCTGGAAACCCAGGACTAGATGAGACTTGTTCCATCTGTCTTGTTAAATACCCTGTGGGCATTGAAATGGCTGCTGCTTAAAAGCAGGCCCCCATACCTAGCAGGCGGCTTGGGGCCAAGTTGGGGATGGTTCTGCCAGCGACAACCAGGCCAGTTTAGGAAACCAGAGCCAGTTGGTGGCAATTTGGCTAGCTTGCTGCCCTGGTCCTTGACAACATTTTTCTTGAAATTTGAGTGCCTAACACTGGGCACAATACTTCAGCTGAAGACTCGCTGCTGTTGAGTAGCTGGGAAGGATTGTTTCATGTTTTGTGGCACTTGTGGCACTCCTGCTTATACATCTCAGTATCACGTGTTCTGGTTTTACAGCAGTGTGACACTTGAATCATTTCTGTTTGTGAACCACTATAACCTCAGACCTTTTTTCTGTAAAAATTCTGCCTAGCCAGTTATTCTTCAATCTATTTTTTGTGCAATTGATTATTCCTATCTTGGTGCAGTACTTTGCATACAAAAATGCATCCTGTTTATTTCAGACCATTTCTCTTATTTCTGAAGAGCATTCTGAAATCTGATCCTGTTTTCTATACTGTGTGCAGCCCCTCCCCATCTTGGTATTGTCTTCATATCATAGTCATCCAGACTCTCTGCACTGGCTTCTACTAGCTTTTCAGGCACAATTTAAGGTGGTGTTTTTCACCTGTAGCGTCCTAAATGGTTTTAGCCCTAAGGGGCCACTTTGTCCCTTATACCCATTGTAATCCCTAAGGTCAGCCAAGATCAGCCTCCTGCAAATACCATCAATGCACCTTTGGTTGGTGAAAGTGTGTGGAGAGTCTATCTTAGCAGTTGCTGCTCATCTCTAGAAACACCGCGCCCCCACCCCCCGAGGTCCAACAGAGTCTGAACTTGGATATCTTTAAGTCTTTCCTGTTTGGGCAGGTGTGTAGCAAGCAAGGCTAGGCTTGGATATTGTTTAAGGCAGTGGTGCCCACCTTTTTGCCCTGTGGGTTGGATGGGCAGTGCCAGCTCCATGTGTAGGCAGGATCTGGCTGGCATGTGGGGCTGGTGGAGGGGCCCCTTCTGCCTGTAGAGGGGTAAGGAGCAACCTGGTCCTGATCTGCATGTATGATTGGAGCGGGGAGAGGGAGGATGGGATAGTGACCCTGATGAGGGGGCGGGGGCAACATTACCTTGATCCAGCTGCACCAGGATTGGTATTGGGGAGCAGCTTGGCTTCGATCTGGATGTGCCAGGGTGGGATGTTGCAGAGAAGCCCTGATCCGGATGCTGAGGATGGGGGGAACATGGCAGAACAGCCCTAACCTGAACATGTTAGGGCAGCTGGGGAGCAGCTCAACCCTGATCTGGATGCTCAGGGCGGGGGCTTGGGTGGGGTGGAGCAACCCCAATCTAGATGCTTAGAGGGGCTGGGGAGCAGCCTGGCCTGATCTGGACATATGGAAATGGGCCCAGCCCTCATTCCACTGCATCGTGGTGGCCTTGACCCAGCTGGAGCTGGCCGTGCATAGGTAGTTTCTTCTGCTCCCCAACTGACAATTTTTTTCTGACCTGTGGGCATCCATATTGGCTGGATATCATATCTCAGTGGGCCGGTGGGTGAGCACACCCTTGGTTTAGGGGGTTTATATTTTATTTTGATATTCTACTTGCTTTAATAAGAGTGGTGTATAAATAGAAGTGGAAAACTTTTGATGTACATATGCAGGGAAATGTCCGTTAATTAATGGCTGTATAGCTAAGAATGAATTACATATGTTTTGTTCAAATGTCAGTCTAAAAAGTTAGAGAGAAATCTGACATTTGAATGAAAAAGTTAGCCTCTGGAGAAGGGGAAAGTAGAATGGAACTCAACTTCAGTTGCTTCTACTGATGCTGCAACTTTTTTAGAAATGTATACAAATCTCTAAGGTTGCTGATATCCATTTCTAAACAGCAAATAATTAAAAAAACCCCAATTATTTCACAAACTGTAGACTTTGCTTAAGAGTTTGTATTCTTTTTTAAATCTAAGAGCATACATTAATTGGCACTGTTAATACATACAGGTTACAGGAAAAATATGAAAATGGGTAGTATTGCATTTCTTTCCTGTATTGTTCAGATGAGAATATTTACCCTCCACTGGGAATTCCTAAAGGAGTTCATTTTTCCAACCATGTTATTGCTGAACAGATTTAAATGGGTTTTTTCCCTATGGACTTTAGTGCAGGTGCTAACTATGTTAGTTGTTGACAGAAATTGATTCTGTTACACCTAACAACATTCTTGCTGAAGAACATGTGAATATATTGGTCATTAAAAGCTGATTTGATTAATAAAAGTACTTGTAAGGTAAATGTTGCTTTAATTTTCTTAGCCTGAATCAGAAAAGAAGATATTCCATATTTACCCAAATCCAAGACAACTACCGATTTTAAGACCCTCACCCCCCAATTATTAGGTTCTGGTCTAGACATAGAAAATGATAAATTTGTTATCGTTCTGAATGAGGGAAAACACCTCATCTTAGATCCAAGTAATTACAGTATATAAAGGTGTACATATTTGAATATTATCCTAGTATCTTGATACTAATAATTTTTCTATACCTATTTCTGAATATCTTGGGATGCGATCATTTTTTTTGGATTCATATAAAATTAAGTTGTAATAATATTTTGTATTCTACAAAAACTTAAAATTTTGCATTTTATTTAAAATATAATTCAAAGGTTAATTTTTGCTTCTGGGTTTCAGTACAACTGAATATCTAATATTGCATTAAACCTGCATAGACTAAAATGTTGCTTTCATATTTCTTTTGTCACACTTGCTGGAAGCTGATCTGTTAGCTAGTACAGAATGCACTTTTAAAGTTGCATGTTATACTTTTCACTGCAGAGTGAGTAGTTATAACAGTGCATTGACCAAGTAGAGTACAATAGAATTTGGAAATAATATACAATTTGGAAAGAATTGTTTTTACCTATTTATGTAATAAATGTGAAACAAAATAATTGCTGTATCTCCTACGTAATTTTTGAGAACTGCATCAAATGTTGTTTTATTCTTTTTGTTTCCATCTGAAAGGTTATGTGCAGAGTTTAATTAGGCGTGTTGTAAACAATGTCAACATTGTGATCAACAATCTCATATTAAAGTATGTGGAGGATGATATTGTTCTCTCGGTGAATATAACTTCTGCAGAATGCTATACAGTGGACGAATTTTGGGATAGAGCATTTATGGACATCTCTGGTGAGTGGTTTTTTTCGATCTTGGGGATGGTTCTCTTTTTATCTTAGGTGAAAGTAAATCTAATGAGAAGCTTTCTAATGTCAAAAGCAATTTTGCTTCCTATTATGTATTTGTTGTTCCTGTATGAGACTTGTTTTTTTTCCCCATAATTTTTAACTTGCAGATGGGATTTTGGTGATTTTATTTTATGAATAAATTCTTACTAGGTTGGATGGAGACGTAGTAAGATGCATTGTGCTTCCTGGGACAGTAAGAACACAATTATTGCATGCATTTCACTTAGGTGAAATAATGTATGCAACATTACATTTTTGTATATGGGGGTAAATACAAGCTATCTATTGTTATGGTGAAGATACAAAACAACCGTGGTATTTTTGTACTAGACAATACTTAATATATTTCTTCTTATCATGTTGCTGTAAGCTTAGGAAATTGTATCCCCATTTTATAGATGAAAAACTGAGGCACAAGTGAGGCTTTTCCAGGGTCATACAAAAACTATGTGGTAGAGCAGGAAATTGCATCTTGGCATCTCAAGTAGTAGGCTCCTGTCTTAACCATTGAGCCATCCCTCATCTCCAGCTGAAATATTTTAAATCAGGGGTCTGGATCCAGCCTACGGAGACCATTACCTGGCCCCCAGTGCTTTCCCTGGGTCTGAATTGGCCCAGGACGGTCCTTGTGGGCACAACCTGGGATGCACACTGCACATAGCATCCATTCTAGCCTCTCCAGGAACTGTGCTGCATGTGTTGCCTGTCCCAGTGTCCTCGGGTTGAATGCCACACATGGTGGCTGATCGACTAGTCTTGGACTATTGTTATATGTGGTGCCTGCAGGTGCTGTATGTTTTCCAGGTCTCAGACTGGCTGGAGCAAGTGTCACATGTAGCGCAGCCCTGGATCAGTCAGTGGGGGTACTGCCTCTAACACGGCACCCAGTTCAGAATCTGTGCTACATGCAATGCCTGTTCCAGCCACTCTGGGATCTATGCTACATACAGCGTCCATCTTTGCTACTCGGGGACACATGCCACATGCAACTCTGATCCCCGACCGCTCAGGGTGGGCACTGTGGGTGCTGGATCTAACATAGTGGTGGAGGACTGGCCCTAGGTTATGGGCCAGAGGAGCTTGAGACCCCTGTTTATAAATCATTTAAAAATTAAAACATTTATAAAATACTTACAAAGCTGATACTTACCATAAAAAACATATCATATTGCTTTGAAACTTTCAGAATAAAAACATACCTGACCAAAATGTGCATTTTTGATGGGTTAACAACAGCAGGTGTTGAGTGGAAGTAAAATAAGTTGGCTCTCCTCATCCTTATACATAAACTACAGTATTCGAAGGTGCAGCCTGAGTGGGGAAATTTGAACTACATAAGACTGTAGCCTGCGGTGGTGGTCTTATGTTTTTGAGCTCTAGACTGTCGAAAAGACAATCTTTATAATATGCATATTACGAAGAGCTGAGCTGAATGCTATGGAAAACAGGTTAAGGCATGTTAATTTCTGAGCTTGTGGGCGTGTGGGGCAGAATCTCAGGGGTGGTCTACGGGTCATGAGCTTTCCTGTAGCACCAGTCAGCAATGACAGAGCTCTTTTTAGAGGAAGGCTCTCATTGAGGTAAAGCTGATCCCTGCAGCTTGCTCATGGATTGGCTGCTTGGGGGCATAGGTCAGTTATTGAAAGGGTTAAGTGGGGAGAAAGAAGACTACCTGATCTGCTTTCCACTTCAATATATATATATATATATATATATATA